TACATAACACATCTAAACTCATCATGCGAGTGGAAAAAGGGAGAATATACAAACAAAATTGCAAATTAATTTCTGTTTGTGGGTGACGCATTCATTGCAACACATTCACTCCAGTTTCATTTAATTTCTGCCAAAATCACAAGGTTGACCAAATGCGGAATACACAGTTGAGTCACCGGCTTTATTTTTTCAAATCGCTTTGGGCAAGATTTTCAGTCAATTTTTTTAATTACGATTATCTCACCCAAGGTGGGCTTCAAAATGAAAACCAACTAGACTATATTCAACTATAATTGATAGCATACTGCAGTCACGCGAGAGAGAGAGAGAGAGAAAAAAGATCAACCGAATGCTTGTTACCGGACGATTATTTACGCAAATAAGCTCACAGTTGAAATATTTAAATGATGTTATTTCTGCAGAAACACGAAAATTTGATTATGTTCTGCCCGCATCATGGACACGACGAAATAATTTCACTCATGTGACGGCACTTCATCAAAAAAGTAAAATAAATAAACGAAACAAGAAATTATGTTGAACGATACTCATGCTCCATAGCTACAGTTTTTGTGGTGACATCAAACAAAGCGACGAACAAACTCATTTCACAAGTGCGGTAAAAGAATTATGTGGCCCAGCAACACAATTTTCCAGACAAAAGAGCAAAGAAGTTGAAAAGATCAATTCTCCAGCTGCACTGAGAAACAGAGAGAACGGGATATTGCACACCCTCAATTACAGCTATGATATATTTGCTACAGCGCGTTAATTTCTTCAAATCAATAGAACCAAATTTACTTCAAGTGCACATCGTTTATGGGCCAATTAAATAAAATACTTTAAAGTTGACTACCGCCTTTCGAAACTGTAAGAAACAAATTCATGCAAAAAAAGAAAAAATATTCAATTCAAACTAAGCTTTTGTACGTATTTGAAATGGGAAAAATCTTTGCACCACTAGGGTAAGGGTTTGTAAGTTGAGCCGGCATGTAAGTTGAACCACCTATGACATTTCATATTTCTGACAGTAGAAACGTCAGAATACCAATTGACATCGTCATTAAAACGAAAAAGATCAATTTTGGTGTAGCTCCCGATAGAAAGTACGCTGTTTGAGTGCTCCAACCACACACCGAGTGATTTAGTAGTAAAAATAGTTAAATTTCATCAATTTGCTGTGCTCTTAAAGTGAACAATTTGCATCGATATTTGAAAGGTGAATATATGTTTGTTAGCTCATTTTTTGTCTATTTTCATAATCCGATCTCAATTTCAAGTATATCGTGAGTCATTACAATTTGTTTCATGCATTGTACAAAGTCATCAAAATTGTAAGTTGAGCCATTTTTGGGTTTGTAAGTTGAGCCACTCAATTTGTTTGCTGTGAAAACATGCCGACGACATGTTCATGCGTGCGAATGTTTGGAATTGTCATTGAAACAACCCCAAACTAAATTGAGTGAACTTAAGTTGAATTTTACATGATTTTAGTTCGAAATTTTGATACTAAAATCTATGGCAAGTCGTCGAAGCCGGTCAACTGATCGTGGTATATCCGATTTTAATGCATTGCTCAATGCAATTGGGCCAATTAGAATCGAAAAAACATCAGTGAGGAATGCTGCTACTGCGTACAACATCGATCGAACAAGTACATGGAAAAATTCGATGATTTTGAATGATGTGCACCCAACACTAATTTTCATCGAAAATATACCAAATTTGCCGTTATTTCTGTGTTCAAAGCCAATAAAACTAATGAACATCCAATAAAATTTAATAAATTTTGTAATTGGAGCGTTTGCACTCAATATTCTCTACATTTTCAGTGATTTTTTATGGTGGCTCAACTTACAAGCCTTAATTTTTTTCTGCCGATTTCAAGCCACTTGGAAAATTGGCCATGAAAAAATATTTTTTCACTAAATCAAATAAGTTTACTCAGCAAAAATGTAGCATTTTAGGTCCTCTTTACAACGGTACCAGCACATCTAGGATATCTTCATTCTATGAAAAGTTATGAGCAAAATAATTATCGTGGTTCAACCTACAAACCTCTCCCCTACTATTCATGCTTCGGTTTTTCGAATACCACATTTCAAGTGAAGTGTTCGTTGATTTCATTGAATTATCTATTCTATTCTATACATCAAAAGAATGTTTCGCCGTTGTTTCGTTGGATGTTAAATCGATAATCTTATTTTGAATTGGTCAAAGATTGCAAACAAACTTTTTGCCAGCAAATTAATGAAATCGCTTCAATCAAGCGTATTCAATTTTGTTTGGCCAAGGAGAGGAAGAAAGAAAAAAAAACACATGGAAAATCGCAAACGATGATGCTCAGCGATCATTTGGAAGTGCTTCAATCTTCATTTCTTGGCTGAGAATTTGTTTGCACTCAGTTTCTAGAATGGCGTAATAGCCAATGTCAACATTCAATCAGTGTCAAATCCCTTGGGTCGATCCAATGGAACGCGATTATGTGATGAGCACGGCATCAGTGTGCTTTTCGCATTCGAAACAGCACACGCCATCACTGCTCGTCGTACGACATACTGTCCATGATAATAGTTTGGTATGGACGTCATCATTAAACTTTCTCATTTTCACCTGAATTTAATTAAAATTACGACGCACTTAAGATTACACAATTTTTGCATTAAGTAAGGCAAACCAAACAGTCATAAAGCGTGCAAAAGTTTCCATATTACGGTTAAATTAAATGACACTCGAGAATGGTTCGTGTGTTGTATATATGTGTTTTGTTTGTGTGTGTGTGTGTGTGTGTGTGTATGCCAAGCACAAGTGCTGTTGACTGTTCGGGTACAGTTGGTGTGCAATACATACACGCACACACATACATACAGTCGGTGGAGAAGAAAAGAGCACCGGGGTGCGCACATCCCCAGTGCACGCATAAATGACATTACATCTGGTCTCAATGTGCACATTCAAAAAATCAGCAGCAAACTGTTTGGGGATTCATAACATTCGTCGAGATAACTGAAAACACGTTTTCACATTTCGAGCATTTGATGCGTTGCTGATGAAGCCGGGCTTTTTGGCTTCTCCTTACTCACTTCAGCTTCATTGTTCGTGCTACGAATCTCGTTTTCTTTTTCTTCACATTGATTTCCAAATTGGACTGACTGACTCACTGGCTGACTAGCTAAATAACTAAACAGTCGCACACGTAGAAGTTGAAATGCAATACAATACTTGATTTGCAATGGATTCAGGTGCGTATTAGGCACACGGCGCATCATACAATTTTATGAAAGCGGATTTCTTTTCGGATCGTATCCAATGTGTGCGTGAGCGCCGCAATGAGTGAATTTGATGAGTTCAGGGGCAAAGAGAGATAAGACATCATTCGTTTTGATGCTGCTCAGCACATTATTTACAATAATCTTGTTTAGGATTTGGAGATAATTTAAAACGCAACTCGGAATTATCAAAATATTCGGCGATAGTTAAACCGGCATCAGAAGCAAAATTCTTATCAGAAAAGTCCTGTGTAGCATTTATATGTGTGCATGCGAAATATTTGAAATATTTTGTTTTTCTTTCGGTTCACATTCCACAATATTTTATGTAAACGCATTTCAGCGTTCTTAGGTAATCTTATAGAGTTGAAGCTAGCGTAGACAAAGTGGGCGACAGAAGAAATGCTATTCTTCGTTTGTTTGTGCTGAAATTGGCTTCGCTCGGACCTTGTTAAGGTAGTTAATTTATAAAGGTCATATAATTTGACGTACACTTCATCATCTAACTCTCCGGTATTTACCTGATACGGTATTGACGGTAGCTACACTTTCGGTTCAACAAACAGCAGCAACCGAATATATATAGAGAGAGAGAGAGAGAAAAAAAAATCGAATCAACTTAACAATATGGGTTTAATCATTTAAGTCATTGTTGTTGATATTATGTTTTCTGCCATATCACCTTTTCCATTGCAATTCCGATGGCCGCAATATACATACACCGTAAAGAAAAAGAAACACACCAAAAGCCGGATAAAAAAGATAGTAGATTCCTCGTCAGTTAGTTCAATAGATGGACGTTGTCTTTTACGGGCTTTTCTTCGCTCATTTTTTTCTTCATCTTTTTTTTCTACTCCATCTCTCACTCCCTTCCACTGCATCCGTTCACACAAATCCAGAAAAAAAAAACCTTTTGTAATTTTATATTTTTCTTCACCCGTTGATCTCAAGTCTCAACAAAAGGAAAACTAAAAAAAGGTTTTCGTGTGTTTTTGTTGCGTACATTATGTGTTTGCAACCGCCAAGAAAAAAAAAGAGTCTTTTCATCAGGTCTCGTTCTCCTGCTTTTTGTTCTGTTATTAAACAAAAACACCATGTAGTGTGTACACGATAAAGAGCGCACTTTGGCGAGAGAGATATTTGGAAGAGTGAAGAGAAAAAAAAAACAATTTTAAAATTAGAAAAAAAAGCAGCAGCCGCAGAGAACGACTGAAAGAAAATCAAGAAACAAAACATGGGATATCGTGAAAGCCAAAGAGAAACGGCTTTTGATTATTATCGAGAATAACTTTTTTTTCTTCTCTCGTCTACAACATTCTTCTTCATACTTTAATTATGCATGCTTTTTAAGCACTAACTTTTGTTTGAATGACATTCGAAGGAGGCGGTGCGCCGAACATTGCCCCCGTTGTACGTATATCAAAGGCAGTGGGCATGAATATAATCTTCTTTGCTGTAAATTCAAGAAGGACTCACTTGATCGAATACAGTTTTACTCGGCAGAGATATTTTTCGCTTTTCATTTTTCTGCACAAAGCAAACAATTCTCGTTTCTGACTCACCAATATACGTATTTATTTTACCTGGATCGAAACAAACTTGCTCTTTGCTTCCTCAATCAAACTTCTACGTTTTTTTCTTCTGTTATTTCTTGGAATTTCAACATAACTAGAAGAAAGAGAAAGGAGAAGAAACAATCTAACGAAGTATTTTGTTTCCTTAAATTTTCAGATTATTGACATCGGAAGGAGACAAAAGCGAAGATGACAGCTTAAGTGAATTGCTTCAAAAAAATAATAATAACAAAAACAACAGCAACAAAAACACAGAAACGTCAAGACAAGCTAGCGAACGTGCGACCACAACACACACTAGGCACAAAGCAAAATCAAAATGAAACGAAACAAAATTTGAAAATAGGGACACAAATATCTCTCTCACACTCTACCTATCTCTATCTTGCGAACGCAAACGCTACGACGACGGAAACGCAAACATCATTTCGGCGTTTGGTTTGTCACTAATTTTAGATATTCCTGGCGAGCGACAGAAACGGCGAACAAGAAAAATAAAAGGCGACCTGCAACGATAGAGTCATCATTCATCAAGTGTATTGTTTACGTTATCATTGCTTCGACAATAGGGTAATCGTAATCGACACCGCAACCATTCACATTATTAACGTAGCGTCATCGTTGGCGTGTGGTAACTGACACAACAGACAGAGAGCATTCGAGCAGTAGCAGCAACAGCAACCGTATAGCAGCTCGAAAAATATTGTGTGGCAACAAATTTTTCTATGAGAATATCGTCATGGACCCCAATGCCAGAACAGACAATGGCATTAATGTAACAGATTTCGTCAACCGTACCACACAGATCACTTCCATAAGCGCTGATTTTATCACACAATGGTAAGTAGAATGTCACATTAAGCATTGCAATAAAACAGCGAAATTGAATTACAAAAAATTAAATCGTAAACAAAAAGGAGAATGAAAAAAAAGCGCATAGAATTTTTGTTTGAAGAAATCTTGCAATAAAACAAAACAAAACAACAACAGACAGAGAAAGAGAAACGAACAGAAACAAAAAAAAATCAAATCGTATGTCGGGACAAATGAATGAATTATATGAGTTGATGACGAACAGCCGTGCCAAACGTGCGATGATGCGCTGATGAATGTGTAATGAGAATTCATACACACTCACTCACTCATTCACACACATCACATTATCATAGCAGGACAAGTGAAAAAAAACAAAAACAAAAACAAAAAATGAGAAAAATAATTTTCCGTTTCCTTTTCCAATGTAAATTTTGCCAGTTTTTAGGTGCCCAGAAGCATCATCAGCAGCAGCGGCTGCTTACAAATTGAGTTCACACGAGAAAAGTTCAACGTGATGCTCTCGCATTTTATTTTATCTGCGTGCCCCATACGTATTCCTTTTTTTTATAAAGTTTTTCCTCTTCATTCCGCACAATTATTCCCAGTCAATTTGCTGCGTCGCGTCTTTTTCCTTCAACTTTCATTTGCCATCGAATGCATATATGTATATACTTTGGTATGAATGTATATATGCGCGCCTTTTCATACTTTTCACATTTTTCTGTCTTTTGATAATGCTTTTCCAACAGCAACAAAAAAAACACATATCTCATGTATCATTGAGTTTAGCTGTCTTTCTATCTCTCGTGCAGCCGAATGTGTGCGGATGTGGATATATATATATATATATATATGTGTGTGTGTGTGTAACCCAATGTGCGAGCACCGTTAAGAATACATACTCAATCATTTATTTGCTAGCTTCTGATAAAATAATAAAACATTCAAAGTTTTCGCAAACCGACTAGATTCACCGTTTGCTTTTTTACATATTTTAATGCATGCGCTTTTATTCTCCTTTCATTCGTATTCCATGATTGTTCGGGATTTTTTCAAAATGAATGCCACTAAAATTGCTTTCGATTTAAATTTTTCTATAACTTTGTTTTTTTTTTGCTTCTTTATCTCTCGCTTCTATGCCTTTGTCTTCGATTTCATTTTATTCCAATTGAATGGGATTCTAGGGAAAATTAAGGGCATAGATAAAACACATTCCGCTAAATTTGCAGCGAGACTTAGCGAGAACGCATTGAGACGGGTGGTTTCCCCGAATGCCATAAAAATGATTATGCGATTTCACATGATGGTAAAAAAAAGAGTACAAGCACATTTCAATAAGCCAACGAGCTACATCAAATGTATCATACGAGAGAGACAATAACGAAAATATGTAAGTCGGATGAACGAAATGTAGAACGAAGACTAATAATAATTACGAAGACTAATTATGTGCTTTGTGCTAACATGAATCGCGGCCTGACTGATAGCAACATCAGCCGTCACGCATCACATGATGATGATGGCAAGGATGTGGCGTTGCAAACAACAACAAGGCATAGAGATAAAAAAATCAACCAAAAGGTGAAAATCAATAAGCGAAACACGACTGAATTCCAAAATACATCTATTTTTCCCTTCTTGTATCATTACTTTGCCATAAATAATACGGTAAAGAGCTTTTATCATCTAATCTTTGTGGAAGAAAACGCGGTTGAAGGAAAAAGACGCGATAGATACGATGATGAATTGTATAAAGGGATTCGCTACTCACACATTTCCCCTAAATTCGATTCAATCGAATTAGCGATCACAATAGAGATTATTCAGTGGATTCGAATCGAAATCTCCAAATCTAAATTCAATTATAATTTGCTTTTATATCAAATTCACTTTCTCTCTCTCTCTCTCTCTCTCTCTCTCTCTTTCTCTCTCTCGGTTTTTTTCCATTGTGATTAAACCAAATCAACATGTTTTTGTAGAATCGTTTGATTTGTATCTCTTTATGCTGGCAAACCACTCTCTCCCTCTATTCCTATGCTACGGTAATCTGTTGTGCAATCAGCGTTTCGGTGATCTGGAGAATATATAGGCAAACAAGGAAACGGCCATGCTACTAGTTAGCTATTTGGCTTACAATGCCTTACCCATGCCCATGCCATTCATCACATCGTGTTATACTTTCTGGTGCGCTGCTGTCAGTCTATTGTTCGTCTCTCTTGTCCTAGGTTTTACCACAGTGTGCCACATTATGAGATGCTTTTACATTTTGATTTTTTCCCCACTGCCGAGATGCTATTATTATTATTAGATTATTTTTCAAGAGTAAAAAAAAACTAGATAAAATAACAAAAAAGTTTCAAGTTGAAAAGCATACATGTGTCGCTGAGCATAAAAATGGGAATACAGATCTGTTACAGTAACAACCTAATATTGTTCCCTAAAAACGTTACATGAATTTCCATCTAACGCGAGTGTAACATGAGTTGCATTAGAAACAGTATTAGCTCATGTTACACTCGCGTTGGATAGAAATTCATGTAACGTTTTTGGGGAACAATATTTTATGTTCGGTTGTTGCTGTAACAGATCTGTATTCTCATTTTTATGCTCAGCGACACACATAATCATGAAAAAAGAAAATCGAAGATAATATTTCAAGCAGAACATAGCAACGATATGGTCAAAACTTTATGATGTTGATGAACTTTGAAAGCGAGCTTGACATTCCGGACCAAAAACAAAAAATCCCAGCACTTTTAAGTCATATTTTAGCTCTTCATTTTCATGGTCCACAAGTTTTAGCTACAAATATCTAATTGTTGTTGTTTTTGTTGTTGGCAACGGCTGTTCTCCCAAAACGAAAAGAAAAGATGTCAAACAAAAAGTTTCCTGACACCATTTATACGATATCTTTCACAAGATTCATTGACTCATCTGAGGATTCATTTGACTCTTTTTTCATTGATTTCAATATTTCCTCTTGCAATCATTTTTCAACTGGAATTTTAAAAAGCCAAATATCTCTTTTTCCGTTGTTAAAAAAAAAATTATTCGAGAAAGAGTATTGGCTTTAAACTGTTGCGCGATGAGAGGCGGTATTAGAGCAATTTATCGCAATGGCGAAAGTTGAACATTTTGAAATGTAATCTCTCTGTTTGAGTGGGAACGGAGACAGACTTAGATTTTGATGATGATGATGATGATGACGATGTTGTTGTTGTTGTTGTTGACTATCATCATCGACAACAAATACGGCGATGAGCAACCATTGTCAGAATATGTGAAAGGTAATGGCAGTGGCAACGAAAGTGTGGCATGAACTTATGTTTGAGAAAAACCAATAGCAAAATACCAACACCGAGCCCGGGCCTCAGGTATCATGTAAAGTGTATGAAATTCGCTGATAATCAATAGTTGATTCTTTTTTTAGAAATCAGTTTCGTCATTGGAACGAAAATGGGATTTTGTGTATCGAAATTTTCGGAAAGAAATCGAAAGTCTGATGCCATCGCTTTAAAAGCAACAGACGATGGCGACAACAGCCACCACCACTAACACACAATAGCTACGACAACGACAATAGCAGCAGCAGCAGCAACAACAACAACAGTACACGACACACAGAAATTGTATGCTGTGTTGGTTCCTGGCAAAATATGTTTTATTGATGCCATTGGAGAATCCAATAAATATTTATAGCACATGATTTTGATATGTTTGTGCGGTGGCATAATGCACGAATGAATAGAGAGAACGTCCTCGGTGCTCCTTGAAAACACAATGTTTCCTTTGTTCATTCATAGTCAGGTAAAAGAACGTTTTTGAATTAAAAGCACATGTGTATTGATAAATTCCATTGAAATATCGTGCTGCGAATTTCTCTTTCGCTCATCATCAAAATCAACGGTATACAATAAAATATAATGAGTGCCAATAGACACACACTGAGATAGAAACGTGAAACAGCCTCTCTATCTCCATATTCACAGCAAGCAAATCTGAAACATAGCTAATGCTCAATTATGCGATACGGCAATATTGATGCCGATAGAAAATCGCATTGTTAATGAAGTGTCCAGTGATTGTACTGTGTATCTGTTGCAGTACGTATGCAAGCCAATCACCTGCGAAATTCCAACGAATCATATTGATTGCGGATACAAAATCTACTAAATCAATTTATGAATAGTGGCAAGTGCTGTGCTCGCATACAGCGCACTGCTAACATAGATGGATGCATTCATGTACGTGTCTGTGGTGGCGAAATGTTCCAAATTTTTTCTCGCTTTCTCCATGTGTGTACGTGTGTTCCTCGCGTTGAACGCTTTTCATTTAAATAATAATGAAAAAAAAATTCTTTGAAAATTCACATTAAAAAACGATTTGTTCGCCTTAGATGCGTGATTTAATAAGAATGGTAAATATTTTTTTTGCGATTATGAGCCAAGAGTGTATGAGCATAACATTGAAACCATTTCGGGGCGTTTTTTTTCTTCTTTCTGTCTCTTTCGTTTTTCCATCTATTTTAAACAAACGTCGAAATAAAAAATGTATGCAGAGCGAAAAAGTGATGCGAATGCCTAATTCAACACAGATAAAAAGGTTTTATGAATATTTCAAGTGTGCCAAAAGCACGTTTTACCTCATAAAGTTTCATGCTTGTCTTTGTTCATGCAAATCGCGGAGATTCTTTTGAGGAATTAGACTTAATTTTCGGGAGCTTCCAATTAACAACACATGTGAAAAATTTGAAACGCCCAAAAGTAAAATAAAACAGAGTTATACTGATAAGTCTTCAATGCAAATGGCAACGGTAAAAATAGCTCCGTGTTGGTTTTGCTTCAATCCGTGGTTGTGAGTATATCGATTCAACACTTAAATATATATAATACCATAATTGACCAATTTCCATGAACGATTGAATTTGAATGTGGGATATAAATAAATGAAGAAGATGTAGGAGAAGAAATGACACTCACACAAATCCAGCGAGCCGAGTAAAATCAATAATAATAGGTAAATTA